TAGTTAAGTAGTAAGTAAGTAGTAGTAGGTTAAGTAGTAAGAATAAGTATAAGTAACTAACTAACTAATAGTATATAGTAAGTAGTAGTATATATATATATATATATATATATATATATATATATATATTGTAGTAATTACTTATTATTTTCTTTAATGAAAAACATATTTAAATGTGTAATTTTACATTATTGCACTATTGACTCTCCTGGAGAGGCATGCCCCACACTTTGGAAAACTATCTTATGTCAAGTACTGTAGTGTTGAAAAACCAAGCTTTCTTCTGGTCTTCACTGATTATGATACCAAACAATAAATAATTTCATAATGTATTCTAATTTTTAAATCAACCTTTATATACATATAAAAATACCCCAGATGAATAATATTATTAGCATGGCTTTTAACATTTAATAATTTTCAATCCATATTGCTTAAAATTTAACATTAAACCATCTCATTGACTGGGTAAAAATGTATGGTGCATTCTTACATGATGTCTAATGCTCATGGTTTTGTTTGTAACCAAGTTTTGAAACGAGTTCTGAGACTGCTTTTTGAGATCAGAATACAGGATGACAAATGACTTAAGCATAATTTTTTGTCAAATAATAATTATAGTGATACAAGGAACTCTATACTTGAATCATAAAATTACATGTAATGGGTTGTTAAGATATCAGTGTAAATGTGAGATTTTTGGCATTTTTATTTTTCCTGTCAATAAACTATTAGGATGATACCTGAGATGGAAAGGTTGTCAAATGAAGACAAGTTAAGATCTCTGAAATTGTTTTCTCTTTAAAAACAAAGAGTTAGAGATGTAATTTTGATCCATCATCTTTTTTTTTTTTCATATTTAATGGTGAGAATGGTAAGACAAGAGCAAAACTACAAATTTTGGCAGGATAGGAGTCACCTTCACTTACAGTTATACTTTTCTAACAATGGGTGGACCTTGGAATGGTTTATGTTCAGATGTGTTGGATGCAATAAATTTAAGGGAGTTTAAGGAAAGATTCAGTAAATATTTGAATGATCAGTGTTGGTATTTAATATTTTTATTTTCCTTTTTTTAAATAGACCGAAAGGCCTCTTATTTTCCTTAAATGTAACGTTATACTGAGTTGGAAGTGGTGATCTAAATACAACAGGCTAAAAGGAAAACTTGTGTTATTGATCCTGGTAGGGGTGTATGTTAACTGAAAGTTTTCAAAAAAACTCATTGATAAGATCATGGAAAAGTAATTTTGCATTAATAAAATTAAGTTTATGGTGTGTTTTTATATGGATGATTGACAGATGACCTTGAATAGCTAATTGTCATTTGACATCCACTTCTTTCTTATATTTTTTTAACCATAGATAGAACCTGATATTTACAAATATAGTGTTTATAAAGTTCCAACATATGCTGTTCTTCCATAGGTCGTTTACATGCTCTGCAGACAGGACTGAAAATTGACAAGAAATCAAAAGAGAGTGTTACTCTTTTAACAGCATTGATGGACTGGTTGGAAAAAGTGAGAACAACTTTTTACATTTTTATCTTTTTAAGTGTAAATTTTATAGTGTAGAAAAATATGTAATCTTATTATGTATTGAAATAATTTATACGATTAATTTGTAGATATCAATGGATAATGTTTTTTCTTTTAAGATTTGATCATTTTATGAACAAGAAAGGTTATAATGAATTGTTAAATTGCAAACATGTACTAGTCCTAGATAAATTAGGACCTATTCCATCAGTATTTGAAAGCTATGTTACATATCTTCTTTTGAAATAATTCTGATATCTGAGCATCTTCTATTCCTTTGTTAACAATATGTCTTTTTCTCTCTCTCTCTCTCTGTAACTTACATTGTAGATGCTAAAGATTACTTTGATAAATTACATTTACTTTCTTCAAATCTAGAATATTTAAAATAAGATACATTATGTGTAGCTCAAACAGTAGTGGAATGACAGAGGAATTTTATTAAGTAGATACCCTGGATTATACATATATTCTCATAAAGTAACTATTAAACAACTTTTGAGAAATATGCATCTTACATGTTTTATTGTTGTTTCAAATTACACTTAATCCTTGCTCATTCTTTGGATATTTATGTCAATGTGAAAAATGCATGACCTAATGCTCACAATAAGAATATTTTTATATGTTAGAAGTATATTTTAAACTTATCTTTAAAGCTTGCATTGTTAGGTTTTCTTCCTAAAGTGAAGTGTCCCAGGTTCCATTCTCCAAATGCTCGAGAAAACCTAGAGCAACTTATAGTGTCAATATTTTAATATTATCAAATCATTGTTTATGCACAAAAATAATCAACTAATCAAAATTAGTGTTTCATTTATTACTGTTTTTGAATATTTCAATTATTCAACTTTCAAGTAATCAGTTGAATGTAATTGGTTAATGAGCCCAGTGAGTAATTAATTATAAAATTCCATTAATCACCCACTCTGTTAGACATGCAAGTAAGTAGATCAGTACATCCTACGTGATTATATTGCATCAGTACTGGTATTTATGTATGCATATTTTTATAAATGTTTTTACATGTGTATTTCTTGACCATTTTTTGTATAGGAGAAAAAAGCTAAGCGTGATAATGAGGCCATTTCAAATGATGTTGTTGCACAAGCTCACATTGAAGATCATGCTCTAAAATTATTCATGTGGGCAGATGGAGAAGACAGAGCTGAAAGATTTAACAAGTTAGTTATTTAAGAAATAACTGTAGCATTAACTTAAAGGTTTTCTGAATAGTTGAACATTGAGATTGCATTGTACAGTGCTTCTGTTAGTGGACTTTCTGGCATGTTGTACACCCAGAATTCTCCTTTGAAGGCCAAAAATTTAACATGTGAAAGTTCCCAGGGTATCTATGCTTTGATCCCATATGTCTACAGGATTTAAAAAGTCTGTTTCCTGTTTCTGACTAATCCTGTTTTATAACTACAACCTAAACTAATTTTCCAATGTTTTCTTAAATACTATTTTGACAGGGGCTTAAAAATTTGAGTTTTCTTTTTGATCCTTTTAAGGTACTTGTAATGAGTAACTCTTTATCATCAGTGTAGTGAGTCATCGCGTGTTTATTTGTGTATAGTTGTAACTCCTCAAAATGTATGGAGTACATTGGATCTATCTGTCAAATGTCTTAGTTATGTTCCGAACGACATTATACACACACACACATACACAAACCAAATAAACAGTAATCAGACATCCAATCCAAATGACCTGGTTTGGATCATGCATGTACTAAATTTGCAATGGTTACAACAACTTTTAACATACAGTACAGTTTGAGAATTCCAAAGTTTTGAATTGACTTCCAAAATTCTTGTCCAAAAAGTCTTGGACTTTCTGTTCTTGCAAGTTAGTGGAAGGGCTGATTGTAGTTGAGTTGTTTAAAGTGTCTGTCCAGTATGCAGTTGCAGATTGGAATTTTGCTTAGTCTCAATTTTTACCTCTTCAGGAACTTTTATGAAAGAGATGTTTTATTCATATGGTTTAGTTGTGTTTTTGTAAGTTTAGTTAATGAATCACTGAGCTTGTGTTTGTTGTATTCTTACATTATTTGTCATTGATGAAGTTTGTGTTTACATATATCTTTGTATGTATTCTGTGAGAACATCATGCAAATGTGAATGTTATGTTTTCTATGTGATTGAATGAGTATCAAATTCCTAATTCTTGACTGGAAAGTTTATTGATGTCTCTTACACATATTTTATGTTGATGGTAAGTTTAGGTTTTGCTCTTTGATCAATTACTTATCAGAAAGTTGAAAGCTGTGGCTTGTTTTTTTTAACTATCTGTACTCCATAGGTAATTCTAGGGTTAAATTAACATATTATTTGTTGTCATCCATGATCTAAATGACATTCACATTTGTGTGTAATTATTGTCCTACGTGCCAAAAGAGATTTTGGAATATCACAAGACTGGGTCAAGAGTTTCTTAATTTGATATAATTTTCTAATATTAATTATTTATATTGTATCCAAATTAGTACATGCTATAAAAATATTCCTGTCTTCGTCTCATTTTTTTTTAGGTTTCATCAGTATTGACACATTTCATAAAGAAACTTATATGAAATATTATCTGGTAGTTTAACACACACAAAAATGGATTTGGTATTTTATTTTATTTTTATTCCATCCTAAATGTCTCACAGTTAAACTAAATTTATTTATGAATTTTTTATCATATTAAAAATATTTTATTTTTAATATATAATTTTTTCAAACAGTTTAGAAAGCCAGCTTTCTTATATTTATCTTCATTTCTATGATTTGCTTAAATAAAAAATATAATAGAAACATTGTTTATTGAGGATCTAAATCTTTAAGTCAAATTTTAAAATTTAAATTTATTCATGGAATGTTCTGAAAATTGTCTGTTGGTTTTGTAAAATTGTTGAATAACATATGAGGAAGTAACTTTAAAGTTTAGCTTTTACATTTCTTTAAAAAAATTTGTTGTTAAACCTTGTCAAATGGACTGGGAATTTTATGATTGTATTTTATTTAATTTGACATTAAAGAGTCTGACCTTGAAGGATTATAGAGTTTGTAAAAATAAAACTAATCAATATAACTCTTTCCTTTATTGTTAGGAATGTCGTAAAGTCATTTTTTACTGCTGCAATTCTTTTTGACATCTTGACTACTTTTGGAGAAATAAATGAAGAGGTGAGACAGCATAGTAATACTTTCAATAAATATTTTGATAATCAACTAATACTACAAGTAAAAAAAAAATAGTTAAAGGGTTGTTTTTAAACTAGATATTGTTGTATATGTTTAGAAAATAAATTTTATTAAATAACTAAATAAAATTTTGGATGATCAGATTCAGATTTTCTATGGATGTGTGCCCCCCTCCCCATTGGCACAACTGTTTGTCTGCATACTTACAACGCTAAAAACTGGCGAGCAAAGCACACACATAGTCCAGTGTGCAGCTTTGTGCTTAACTACAAACAAACAAACTATGGATGTGAAACAGTTGTTTAGTGATGAATTACTTTTGTGCAATTTAAAAGATTTAAGATGAAAATGTAATGTATAAAAATTTTGTAAATCTTTTAAAGAATTCAATACCTTTAAGTTGTAAAAATGAGATAAAAATATTTAAATAGACCGTAGTAGGTGGTTATGAATACAATTTATTATTGTGTTATAGGTAGCACATCATAGAAAGTATGCCAAGTGGAAAGCTACATATATTCACAACTGTTTAAAGAATGGAGAAATTCCACTTCCTGGTCCAGCAGGAAATGAAGATTTAGGTTTGGGATCACATTTAATTATTCTTGATGTTACGTGTTTTAAAAAAAATAGTTTTAAGTTTTCTGTGATTTATCAAGTAAAGATCTGATTGAAACTAATTATTTCATGCCAGGATGGGTGCAGTACCCCCTTGAAAGCACAATTGCACCACTGAATAAAAAAAAAAAATGTAGAAAACAAACTTGTTGAGATTTTTACACCCACTAAAAACATTTAAATACTTCAGAGTTGAAATGTATTCAATAAAAAAGTTTAATATGTTTAAATTTATAGATAAACCTTTTCACCATGTTGCAAGCTTAATTTTGAGTTGGTTTCAGCATACTTCAGATGAAAGCATTAATAATTGTGAGCATTATGAATATTTCTGAGCATCATATGGCCTTCATTGCCCCCTTGGATGAAGTCCAAAATAGATATGAACAAAACAATGCCATCTTGAATCTTGTGAATTCAATATAAATGTAGTTTTATCAGCTTGAGCCAGTCACTGTTTCTCAATGTTGGTTGTCATGCTGTGAAGTAATTTCCTACATTTCACCTTTGAGAAACTTAAACACATAATGGAAACACTTTTTATTTTATTTAAAATTATACAAGCCATGGCGGTTTCCAGTTTAGTGGAGTTTTGTGTAAAGATCATAACAAAGCGATAAAGACAAAGTGATAAAAGCTTGGGTTGATGATATGTTGCTAGAAGAAATGGTGTTTATGAGCAACTTCCACTATTATTACAGCCCCCTTCTTTTTTTTTTAAGTTTGCTTTCTTATTTTTATACTTAATTTCAATTATGATGTTGAAGTATGATAGGAAAAGAAATTCTTTTTTGTCAAACAATATGAGATGAGATCAGCTTAGTTAGATCATTTTGTACTTGATCATATTAAGGTTTGTGTTATCAACAAGGCCATTTATTTATAAGATTATGCTATTTATGAATTTGAAATAAATGCATTTATATTTTTGTTCATATATTTTTTACTGGGATGTATTTATTGCATAAGCATTTTGATTTTCATAAAAAGTATTATGTATTATATTTAATTAGGTTGGCTGAAGAGCATTATAAGCTGTAAAAGCACTTCCAACCAACTATAGATATTAAAGAATAGTATTTTGAACTTTGTGGTCCTTTTAGTATTTTTGATGTATTATTAAACTTGAGTGATCACAGTGTGCATGTCACAACTTTTTAGAGAGTTACATTCAAAATTTAATCAACTTACTTAATTAACATTGTATATTAATAAACCTGGCATCAAAACATAATTAATAAAGCAAATCTTAATATTTTATAAGTTTTGATTTCTTAATTTTATAAAGAATTATTTTAAAAAATCCTCAATCTCCCCTAGTATGAAAATTGTGACATTTGTTCTTTAGGACTTTCCCTCTTCTGTAATTTATTTACCCACCCCCTCTTGGAAGTATGGAATTTAACATAAATTACTCATTATAATATAGATATTACTAAAACAAAGCATAATTTTTAAAGCTTTCAATCTTATTTGTTTACAGAACCATAAACTAGAAAAAGAAAATCAGACCCATTTGACACGCCCTTCTGTCACATCTTCTTTTTCACAAACTGCCAGTAGTTCTCTCTGACATTTTATACTATATTATTTCTAACCAATAGAAAGTCATAGTTTTAATTTATCAAATTACATATTATATTATTTTCTGTACAGAGTATTATCTATTTCGAATCCAGTTTGAAAATTTCTCTCCCAGTATTCACATCAACAAGCTTAACTAAATTTTGAAATGCTATTATTGCATATTTAGAAAGCCAGGTAAATTATGATAATTATAGGACATTGTTTGCTTTGTGTGTGTTATTATTCTGTGTTGTTTAATGTATTATTTAATTAATAAAAATTTTAGGTACAAGTACAATTAGTGTAAAAATTCTCTAAAATGTAAAAATTGGAAACTTATTAGGTTAGATTAGGTAAGATAATGAAAAATAATAATAATTCTTCATGGGGTATGTTCACGAATAGCTCATACATTGTGTAATTCAATGCGTAACTTGAACTGTGCATTCCCCGAATAATTCACAAATTGTGTGGATTTTTAGTTAGACACAGGTGAAAGGGCAATAAAAAATAAAATTTAAGTATAAACAGATGTATACTGTTACAGGCTTTAACTATTTAGGATAATCAAATGTTTTTTCCTGTTACAGTTTACAGTCATTCTGTTTATTTTTATTTATTTTTATGGTGGTTTGGAGGTTGGTTAAATTGACTGAATGTGTATAGAGTTAGAATAGAGAAGCTAACAGATAAAATATAAAGTTTTAATGAAAAAGAAATATTTGATATTTATTTCAGAGGTTTTAGAGAT